CCCTAATTATAAAGCAGTACATGCTTATGAAAGAATTAAAAATATACAGAAGTGATTCTGAGTTCCGTTCTCCAGGATAATCATTATTAACCATTTCATATCACATCTTCTAGACTTTTTTTATGATATTCGTATGTCTCCTATAAAAACAGCAGGGCTAGCTTGTGTGCATTTGAAGCTATTTCCTGTATGGGGTTGCACTGGAAGGAATATCTGCCTGAACTAAGGACCGCTAAAAAGCAAGTCATATATGTACTATCTCTAGATAAATACAAAAGGGGAATCCTACATTGCAAAACTTCTTTAAAATCTGCTTTATCATCACGTTCATACTCTCTGTATCTCACTGGGGGTGGGATGGAGAGCAAGGTAGGTGTTTCAGAGATTTTGCTATTATGAACTGTGCTGCAGTAACCAATATGCAACTATATCTTTGTAGTCTGGAAGGTGAGATTTCGAGTATGAGCTCCTAAAAATGGAGTGGCTGGGTTAGAGAGTCTGTACATTTAACATTTTGATAAACATGGACATCTTGCTTTGAAAAAGGTTGGAACTCTCTATACTGGACACTATGCCACCGTGCCCAAATACCCTGTTTTAGGCTGGTGTGTTTAAGGCTTCCTCCTATCTCGCACTCTGTCCCTATCCATGAGCTCCCTTGCCTAGCAGGTCACTCTTCCCCTACACGTTGCTAGAGGTCTGCATCTCATGACTGTTACGGGTCGTGGTGGTGGTGGGAGGGTGTACATATCTATATTTTCACCATTTCCCCTTCTCACAGCCTTTGAAAATGAACCTTACTCCTTCACTAATCTCAGTCCCATTCCAAATAACATATATATTTTAAACAAATGCTAGAAATTGAGGATAAATTAGAGGAAGTTTCATTTCTTGGGGCTTTTGTTCCTGTAGCATTTGACATCTTTGGGGGAGGTAGTGTAAAACAAAAGGCTAAATTTATTTTTAAAATACAGTTTTAATGTATATTAAGCTATTTGACTTCACCAGTTAAACTTTCCATTGATAATCTAATTTTCTTTGATTTCTAAAGCAAATGAATTTCCATGACCCTTCTTATTCTGGATAATTTTTTACCGTTAAAAAAATGCTTCATTATTTTATTATCATGTTTTTGGAATTTTCTGTTGTTTTAGGTGTTTGTAATACTGATAACTTCAGTTTGTTATCCATTACAATTGACTATGGTCCATTTGGTTTTATGGAGGCCTATAATCCAGGTATATATGATTTATATATATGCGTATATATTCACTAAAAATCATCACAGGTTTATTTTAGATATAGCTAATACAGTGATGGGATCATAGAAAGAGTTGGGTTGATGCATAAAATTGTCATTTTATGTGCTACTCAGTCTTCCAGGTGCCAAGGAGATACAAAAATGAGTCTTTTGTGGCCTCTGCCCTCAAGGAATTACATGTTAGAGCAGATGAAAGAGAGTAGGGAATATGTTGTCAGACAGATGTGGATTTGAGTTCTGGCATCTAACCCTTAGTGCCTCTCTGCCCTTGGACAAGTTATTTAATCTGTCATTTTACTAACCTATAAAATCGAGGTACTATATTTCCCCATGTATAAGACGCTCCCATGTATAAGACGCACCTTAATTTTGGGGCCCGAAATTTGAAAAAAAAGGTATTACATAAAGTTATTGAACTCAAGTTTTATTCATCATAAAATTCATACAACTCCTCATCACTGTCAAAACTCCCAACCATTAGCTTGTCCTCATCTGTGTCTGATGACGAATCACTGTCTTCATATATTGCCTCATCCTCAGTTCCATCTAGGGCATTTGAAATCCACAACCACTGTATAAGAGGCACCCAGTTTTTAGACCCCAAATTTTTCGAAAAAGGGTATGTCTTATACATGGGGAAATACTGTAACAATAATAGAATATTTACCACTGTAGAGATCAGAGCAGGCTTTGTAGATGACATGCTACTTGACTTGCAGTTTGAAGTACATGTATGATCACCTGGAAATTCTTGTAGATTAGAAATTTATTCTTCTATTAGGCAAATACTCATATTTTAAAAGACTTTCATGTGTATGGGTATTAAGTATGTATATTACTTTTGAGTTAAATGTTTAATGTCAGCAAGATTTTTATCTAATAAACATAAATTTATTAAGTTTAAATACAAACTTAAAAAATGAGGAAAGAAGCCATTTATTATAATTATTCTCACCGTATAATGATAGTATCTTTGTTTTAAACAGATTTTGTACCAAACACATCTGATGATGAAAGAAGATATAAAATAGGAAATCAAGCTAATATTGGGATGTTTAATTTAAATAAATTATTACAAGCTCTAAACCCATTACTGGATCCAGGGCAAAAGCAGCTGTGAGTAAATCCTAAATCTAATTAAATCTGTGTGAAAATATATTTGTATAATGATCATTTTTTGAAAAGCAAGAAAGTGACATTTTAAAAACTATCTTATTTAGTCTTTAATAATGATGGCATTTTAAACTATATATTTTTCTCTAGTACAGTTTTGGCTTTTTTCCATAACTATCAGGATAAAGCGTTTTCCTATTTATTGCTTTTTGGGTGTTAGAAAATTTTAGTTTATTTCTTCTTTGATGCAAGGGCTATTTATCACTGTTTCTTTTTTTAAAGTGTTAAAAATTTTTTTCAAATACAGTTGACATTCAATATTATATTAGTTTCAGGTGTACAGCATAATGGTTAGACATTTATATAACTTACGAAGTGATCCCCCCAGTAAGTCTTGCACCCACCTGACACCATATATAGTTATTACAATATTATTGACTATATTCCCTAAACTGTACTTTACATCCCTATGACTATTTCGTAACTGCCAATTTGTACTTCTTAATCCCTTCACCTTTTTCACCCCGTCTCCCAGTCCCCCTCCTATCAGGCAACCATCAGCTTGTTTTCTGTATCTATGAGTCTGGTTCTGTTTTATTTGTTTGTTTATTTTGTTTTTTAGTTTTCACATGTAAGTGAAATTATGTGGTATTTGTCTTTCTCTGTCTGGCCTATTTCATTTAGCATAATACCCTCTAGGTCCATCCATGTTGTCTTGGTCAGATATCATTTTTTTTAATGGCTGAGTAATATTTCATTGTATAAATGTACCACTTCATCCACTTCTTTTGATTGGAGCATTTAGTCTATTTACATTTAAAGTGATTATTTTGATAGGTATGTAGTTATTGCCATTTTATTGTTTTCTGATTGTTTTCATAGTCCTGTTTCTTTCTTATCCTCTTGCTCACTTCTCTTGTATGTTGATGACTTTCTGTAGTGTTGTGCTTGGATTTCTTTCTCTTTATTTCTTGTATATCTCTTATAAATTTTGGGTTTGTGGTTACCACGTGCTTCCTATATACCAAGCTATGTTTTTAGCAGTGTATTTTAAGTTCATGGTCGCTTAAGTTTGAACAAATTCTAGAATCACTACCATTTTTACTTACCTTCTCCACATTTACATTTTTCTCATTTTTTTTTTACTTCTTTTGTGTGTATCTCTTAATTTACTATTTTAATTACACATAATCTTCCTCCTTTTGCTTTTTAACCTTTGTACTACCTTTAGGGTTGGTTGATCCACTGCTTTTGTTATGTGTTTGCCTTTGTCGGTGAGCATTTTTTTCTTGACAATATTTTCGTATTCAAATTTTAAGGTTTTTTTTTCTTCTTCAAGAAGTCCCTTTGTCATGTCTTTTAACACTGGTTTGGTGGTGATGAATTCCTTTAGCTTTTTCTTGTCTGGGAAGCTCTTTATCTCTCCTTTGATTCTAAATGATAGCCTTGCTGGGTAGAGTAATCTTGGTTGTAGGTCCTTGCTATTCATCACTTTGAATATTTCATGCCACTCCCTTCTGGCCTGCAAGGTTTCCATTGAAAAATCAGCTGACAGTCTTATGGGAGTTTCCTTGTGGGTAATTTACTGCTTTTCTTTTGCTACTTTTAAGATTCTCTCTTTGTCTTTAACCTTTGGCATTTTAATTATGATGAGTCTTGGTGTGGGCCTCTTTGGATTCATGTTGTTAAGTAACTCTGTACGTTTTGGACTTGTATGTCTGCTTTCTTTGCCAGGTTAGGGAAGTTTTCTGAAGTCATTTCTTCCAATAGGCTTTCAATCCCTTGCGCTCTCTCTTTTCCTTCTGATACTCACTCCTATGATGCAAATGTTGTTACGCTTGATGTTGTCCCACAGGTCCCTTAAACTATCCTCAGTTTTAAATCTTTTTTCCTTTTGCTGTTCTGTTTAGGTGTTTTATGCCACCTTGTCTTCCATATTGCTGATTTGGTCCTTTCATCTCACCTGCTGTTCATTCCATCTTATATAGTCTTCATTTCAATTATTGTACTCTTCACTTCTGAATGGTTCTTTTTTATGTTTTCTATCTCTTTGTAGAAGTTCTCACTGAGTTTATCTATTCTTCCTCTAAGTTCATTGAGCATCCTTATAAGCAGTGTTTTGAACTCTGTATCTGGTAGATTTCTTGCCTCCATTTTGTTTAGTCTTTTTTCTGGAGGTTTTTCCTGTTCTTTCACTTGGGACATGTCTCTTTGTCTCCTCATTTTGGCTGCCCCTCTGTGTTTGTTTCAATGTACTAGGTAGATCTGCTATGTTTCCTAGTCTTGGCAGAGTGGCATTAAAGGGTAGCTATCCTGTGGGACCCAGTTGCACAGCCTCCCTAGTCACCACAGCCAGGTGCTCCAGGGTTTTTCTTTTCTTTCCAGGGTTGTGTGTGCTCTCCTTTTGTAGTTGAACCTTGATTACTGTTGGCACATCAGTGAGTGGACTTGACCCTAAGGCTGACTGGGTGTGAGGACTGGCAGTGACTACAGTAGTTGTGTGAGGGCTGATCTCATGGAGAGGGATTCACTTTAGTGGGCCTCTGGTGCCTGCCAAGTCCATCCTTTGGCATGTCGTTTGTGGAGCTAATTGGGTGGCATTTTGTTTTGATCTCAAGCTGGCCACCAGGTTTGTTGGCTCTGGGGCCTCTTGGGAGGGGCTCTGGTGCAGGCAAAGGTCAGTTGGGCCAAGAACACTTGGTAGGAGCTACAAAGTGGTCTGCAGTACGTAGCTGCCTGTACTGGGCTTAGAGGCACCTGGGAGTAGTTATGATGTGAACCGAGGCCAGCTGCCACTTATCAAGCAGTATAGGGCATGTTGAGGCCAGCTGCTGCTTGTTTGAGGTTTATGGCCCTTGGAGAGATTTTAGGAAAGTCTGCAGGGTGGGTCTCAGGCAGCTGCTTGTGTGGATTAGCCTCTGAAAGAGGTTTGGACCTGGCTCATGAATTGGGTGGGGAGGGATCTCAAAGAATCACCAGGATGGGGTGAGAGCAGTGTTGTTCCCGTTAATGGAGACTCAGATTTGGGGCTTGCTTGTGCCTGTTGTCTGTGTGGGGGAAGGCTCAACAAAGTAACAATGGCACCTGCTATCACTTTAGTCCCAAGGAACACTGCCCCTTCAGCCCTCGCCCTGAAGCTAGACAATTCAGTTCCTCCCTGTATGTTCCTAGTGCTCTTCAAGCCACTGTCCCTTCCCTGGAGCCCAGAGCCAGTGTTTATGAGTGAGTGAGTCTGTGCTTGGGCCCTTTAAGAGGACACCTGGGTCTATAGCAGCCTTCCATCTTACCTGGAAGGAATCCCTGCTGATTTTCACAGCCACAGTTTGTGGAGACTCCACTTCCCATCACTGGTGCTTTAGGTTGGGGAGTCTGGTGTGGAGCTAGGACACCTCACCCCTCAGGGGGAACCTCTGTAGCCAAGATACCCCTCCGTGCCACACGTGGGTCTGGAACTAGCCCTCCTGTCTCCTCCCCTCCTACCAGTGTCGATGTGGCTTCTTCTTTATCTCCTTAGTTATAGGAGTTCAGTTCAGCTAGATGTCAGGTGGTTCTCAAGGGTGGCTGTTCTATAATGTAGTTGTAATTTTGATGTGGTCGTGGGAGGAGGTGAGTACAGTGTTTACCTACTCTGCCATCTTGATTAGAAGTTTCTCACTGTTTCTTAATTTCTAAGTAGTTAGATTTACGTTGCCCATATTTTTCTGATCAAAGAATGTGTTTGGTAAAATTTACTATTCAAAATGTATTAATGTTTCTTTGTGGTACAGCCATGCTGTACCTCATGAGTGAGGGCCTGAGGCCTTGCTCTGACCCACTAGGTTCTGCCTGCCTTCTCCAGGTCCTACAAGCTACTGGGCCCAGGATTACGTTAAGATATTTGTTGATCACTGGACACTGAACTTTTTGAGGGCAGGGATCACATTGTATTCATTTCTCTGTCTCCAATGTATTTTCTAAGAGAGAAAACATATTTCTCTTCACACTCTCTGTACCGCCCTCCCCCAATCTAAAATTGACCATTTTCAGTACAAGATCCCAAATGAAAGCCAAGTTATATAGTGATTTTGTTAACCCAGGTAGCAAGAAAGTTACTACAACAAAGATAAAAGTTTTATATTCCATGTATGTTTTCCTTAATTAATTTCACTTAAAGTTATATTGGTAATACAGTCACACAGTTCAAAATCACAGTGATATAAAATGATATTTATTAAGCAGTCTTCAACCTACCCTTGTCTTCATTAATTTTATATCCATTTTGCCCTGCAGAGTTCATTCATTCATTCAACAAATATTTATTGAGGTGCTCAATATGTGCCAGATACTGTTCTAAGTGCTAATGGGACAGCAGTGAATAAAACAGCACAATAATTGTGGCCTCGTTGTTCTTCTAGTGGGAGAGACAGTCAATAAACAGATAAATAAGTTATATAGCATTTTAGAAGGAGATAAGTACTATGGAAAAAAATAAAGCAATATATAGGAAGAAGGGGGGGAGGGGATTGCAGTTTTAAAAGGATGGTCAGTGAAGAACTTGAGTAAAGACTTGAAGGAGTCACAGGAGCAAACCATGCAGCTATCTGGGGAAGGGGGAGCAGGGAGAGTGCCACAGGCAAAGGAATAGCCTGTGCAAAGGTCCTGAGGTGGGCGTGTATGTGGGATGTTAAGGAACAGCAAAGCCAGTGTGGCTGCTGCAGAATGTGCCAAGGGGAAGAATTGTAGGAGATGAAGTCAGGAAGGTAAAGGGAGTGCAGCTTCAGACTGTATTAAGTTTTGTGTTATTTAAAATACATTTAAGAATGTTCAGAAATAGAAATTTAATTTGTTTAAAGATGAGCTTAAGGTTAAAAACTTTAATTTTTATATTTTTGTGAAATATTTCTCTTATTTTCATACTTTCAGGCAAGTAAAATATTGTATTAGGTGAGATATTTGTAATGCGTTATATTGGGTCTAAGATGATTTTTAAAAATATACCAAAAACCTGCTTATATAATTTATTTTTTTTAATTGGGGAATTGGGGGGATGGGAACAGTGCTGGGGAATTGGGGGAAGGGGAACAGACAAGTTGCTGTCCTTTTGTTCTTCAGTCTGGTTGTGGAGGACGTTGCTTCACTGGCCCAAGTTGACATCATCATTGCGCTCTTCCCGGGCGAGGCAGATCAGTCGCCAGCTTCTGGATGGCCGCTCACTGTGGCTGCTGGCCGCTCACGCTGG